CCGACGGCGTCTATGCTTAAGCCGGGGATTAGGTCGGTGATTAAAAGGAAAGAAAGGGATTCTTTCCAGGTAGCCTTAATAAAGGCAGGTAGAATTTGCTCCTTGCACTACACTTTCACAAAACACGTGTGCTCTGGTCGGCTGCCCGCTAGGAACACTCTCCAGTGCAACGGCGACTTTTTAAACTTTAAATTGGGTCATAAAACGAGATCCGAATTTATATGCGCGGCTTATAAGTCTTCAGTCTTCACTACTTGTCTACACTCCATACTGTCCTTCATTACCCCCACCAAAGTTTAATTTGACAGTTACAGTTGTAATATGCAAGTGACGTTTGCACAAAAGCGGTTTATTTGAAAATAAAAAAGCCCCTTAGCAACAGAAACGAAATCAAACAATTATTGAGGCAGCTGTATTGGAGATTATATTAATAGCATAAAAAATGGAAAGAATAGATACCTTACAGGTGAATTATGAGGAAAATAACGTCCTCTCTAAATGTGAAAATGTATTTTTGGAAGCGAAAAGGTAAGTTAAAAATAAATATGCAGTATGGTACAGATCAATAGCTTATTTCATATTTAGGGTATTATTAAACGAACAATTGGATAAAATAGCTAATATTACATTATCTGAAGTAAACAATTCGAGAAAAACTATAGAAAATTGTATGAAGCAATGCAAACACAGCTTAAATTGGCAAAATGAAAAGTTTTGGGAAGAGTTACCTCCAAATCCAAAAAATCCCAAGAGCAAATTAAAAGATGTATCCAATAGATGCCCTATTAATGAAGAAATTAATACCATTATTGGAGATTTAGTAAAAATAAATAGAAATGAACATATTAATTTAAAACCTGATGGGAGAGATGAGTATTTAACAAAAAAATATTTTCTTTTGTGGAAGAAAACAGTGAAACATAAAATAGAAAAGAAAAAGTTACCGAGAAATACTCTGGATCAAAAAGAAAAATTGGAAAGATTTTTTAAGAGAATTAAGCAACATACAAAACGAGAAAAAAGCTGTTCCAAAAAAGAAACGCTTTGCACAAATATTAGTCAGCAAAAACCCCCTTCACCACAAATTTACGAAAATAGGTATAAAGCACAGAAAAGTATCATTATTATGCAGAAAGCCAAACTGGAGGAACAAAACAAAGTGATTGAAGAGCTGAAAATGGGCGTAATAAGAGAAGATCTATTAAAATCTATTGAGAATACAAAGAATAATATTAGAGAAATATTTAGCAACTGCTCCAGCAAGGTTAAATGTAAAGTACCCGTTGTAGTCATACAAGAAACACAGCAGTTTAAGATCAGAACACAGAAAGCTCCCAAAATAGTCCAACAGCTGGAGCAAAGAGCCTTGCTAAGAGCTCAAAAAAGACAGTTAGTACTTGAAACAAAACGTTTGATTGAAGAAGCCCGTCAAAAAATGTTGGAAGAAGCAATCGAAAATAAACGAGTAATGGAGGAAGAGGAGCGAAAAAGGAATTTAGAAATAATTAAAGAGAGGCGTAAGAAAGAATTGGAACAGGAGAAAGTACGGCAAGCCAATAAACAAAAATACCTGGAGAGTTTAAACAAAGCAATCAATTTTTATAATAAACTGACATTGGCGAAGTGTTTTAAAAAACTGTATAAAAATTGTCAGACAAATAAAGCCAATGCTTTACTTGCCAAAGAACATTATGAAACAAAAACGCTAAAGAGAAATATTTATCGTTGGTGTGATTTTGTGGAAGACACTTATAAATTGAAGTATGAAATTGCTGACGCACATTTTACGTATACTGTGTTAAAGAAAACTTTAAAAATATGGCACGAGGTAACTATTTTTAATTTTACTCCGAATTCGTTCGGAATTTTTTTTTTTAATTAAAATCAGAATTAATAATAACAAATATTTGTTGATGACAAAAGTGTAGCTTGATGTTTATCATTATTCCTTCTTTCTTTATGTTTAAGGTCCATATTGAAAATAAGAGGAACATGCAAGTGGCAGAAGATTTATATGATTTTCGCCTGACAAGTAATACTTTTATATACTGGCACAGATATGTATGTTCCCTATTCACTTTACAAAGTAAACAGTTAAAACTAGCAGAAAGTCGTTATAGGAGGTAAATATTTGTTACTAAAAATATATTTTGGTTTGCAGAGTTCTCGCAGTTGGCGTAGTTGAACAATTTGTGAGTTGGTTGCCAAAGTGTCGGCTTGGACTTCCTAATGTCTCAGGAAACATATCGTTCTCCTTTTCAGGAATAAAATAATGTACAGGGAGCTGATTTTAAACACTCGCTGAAGTGATATTCCTTTTATTCTCATTTTTTATGTAAATATTTCTTTTTAAATTTTTAGCCTCTTAACGTACAACCAACCCCTTAAGAGGCTTAAACTAATACTTCACAATGAGTTACAAAATTAACGTTGGCGTTTTGTTTGTGTCTGCCTAGTATCCTATTGTCATATCACATCAGGTGGATCGATGCTATGTAGTTCACCCAAAATTAGATCAGTGTTAGAAGTCATTGACACTGAGATTCACAAACTAAACATAGTGCTTTAAAAAACAGTAGCAAACACTTCTTATTAAAAACTTGAATTGATTTTTGGATTATTTCGAGTTTGGCAGATTAGTAAGTTAGTCCAAGCATTCTGCAATATTAAATTTGCAGAAATTACCTGAAAAACAAAAAATTTGACTGTATCGGAAATTAACTTTTAAATTGAGTAACTTCATTAAACTCGATTCAAAATGGTGAATATGGCCAAAAAAATGAGCAAAGTTGCAAAAAATGGTTTTTCTAAAATAGGTAACAAAAAAAAATTAGCATTGATCGAAAAATTTTAAATAAAGTTGTAGATTTTAAAAAGTTTCAGTCTCTTCCAAAACGTTGAGAAGTCCAACCAAATGACAACTGGCCCAAAATCAAAAATACAGGCTGTTGTAAATTCACTTCTACTACAGGGACCTCGGAAACGATAAGAGATACAAAGTAGCCTAAATGGGGGCTACTTTTTTCAATATAACTTCAAACAAGGCTGAAATGAAACAAAAACGGATATACAAAATTTCGTTTTTTTTTTGCAAATATTTTGAAAATTAAACATGTTAGCCTTGATTTTTCAGAGACATAATGTTGGTCCCCTGATTACACAACTTTACCCCCATTTAAGATACTTCGTACCTTTCACCGTTTCCGTGATCCCTGTAGTGAGAAGCGAATTTGTAACACCCTGTATATTTTATTGAGAATTTTCAAACGATTGATTATATTTACAGGAGATTGTTGTTTCACTGCTTTTATCTATGGCGTTCTCTACCCGCAGTCATTCAACTTGAGAAAGCGAAGGAACTGAAAAAACGTAAGTGGCGGGAAAAAGTGTGGGAAGTTGTACCCGATTACAGACCTCCTGAAGACATTTAAACACATTTTTAAAGTATACAATACTAGTTTAAGTTTTATATTTTTATATTTTATCAACTTGAGAATAAAAACAAATAAATTACTTCGTAGTAAAATCTGTATCAAAATCGTAACTCTCAACGGACATATCTTTATTGGTGTTCAAAGAAAAATTGTCCAATCCTGCAGCTAACTGCTGCGACACTTTTTCTCTTCTATTTCTTTGTTTCTTCTCCTTTTTAAACTGGTTCTTCCGAATCTGATTTAGCTTTTGATTGCCTTCCAATTCCATTTCGGGATCCACCTTTTTCAATCTGGGCTCGACTTTACTTTTTCCACTCTTCTTTGTCGGCGCGACTTTTATTCTGTCGCTTAACTGCAAATAAAACTAATTAATCAACTGTGAAATACATTATACTCCAGATACAGAATAGTAGGCAGCGACGGAAATGGTCTTGAGGCTCAACCAACCTGAGCCCACCATCATGTCTAGATGAAGGGCATCAATATAAATTTTGAATACGAATAAGGGTATAACAAAGATTGAGCAAAATCACAAATATTGTTATTAATTTTAAAATTCCCGTACCAATTCTTTATCTTCCACATCCTCTTCCATTTCCTCGACAGACTCCACAGGACCCAGACTATCTAAAACAAAGGAATTTGTTTTCGGATCCGCTTCTTTTCCAATTTTGTTTAATATCTCAGTCTCCATAGATTCAAAACTGTCCAAGTCGAACTCTTTTGCAACCTCTGTAACGATCGATGAACTTATATGTACATCGTTTTCGTTTTCCTCTGGTGGCAGGGTATAATATTTTATTTTACCGCTAAAAAGGAATGGAACGGTTACTAAGCTTCAACAAAAGCAAAGATTATGGTCGCATATCGAGGTGGTTAATATCAGTATGAAAAATTTGAAAACTGTTTAATGTACGGTAATTATAATTAAATATAGTGCGCTAGAAATTCCACTACCATAATTTTAATAGGCAACAGCAGTGGCGGCTCGTGATATCTTTGATAGAGGAGGCTTGAAATGAATGAAACTTTAAACTCGTCTTTCTTTTCTTTGAGGGCGGGTCATCGTTAAAGGTTTCGTCAATGTTTTCTAACAAAATTTCATACAATGTGTTGAAATGTCTCATTATTGCGGAATTCTTTTAATTTTGATAAAAGTGAATTAATTCTCTTTTTAGAAAATGTTACGTCAGTTAATTTATTCTGCAAAATTTGGAATGCAACATCGGTTTGTTCAACAATCACTGTAAAGGTTTTCAAGAAACAAATGAAATTTTTGTCTAACAACAATTGTTTTAATCCATAAACGGATCCTAAAGTTTGTTGATCGTTTAAAAAATCCTCACTGTCCTATTCTTTCTGTAAGTTTTTACCGGATTATTTTCCATTGCAATTTCCGACACTTGTTTCCTATAGTTTGGTTTAAAAAGGTAACACGCACATATAAGCGAGTTCGGGCCCAGTGATGGTGTAGACGAGAATTTAAGAGCAGGTTAAGTCTTTGCTATTTTTTTGATTTAAAATATAATAATTTCGGATTAATATTGTGCTATTACTGCTAAAACAATGAACCAAAGGTGCATTTTATAAGGGGTGTTCCAAAAAGACCCGAACCCCCAATAACTTTTTAGGATGAAGTCTTATTAAAAAAGTTTAAGATTGCTCTATAGCAAGGTGACCAGCAATACATTTTAATAGATTTTATTACATGGTTTGTCTAAATATGAATTAATGCACAAATAACTGACTTTCCCCCATTTTAACGCATATTTTCTATAAAATGGGCTTAGTTTGAAACTTAGATAACTTTTTGGTGTATATAAATTTGTAATTTACGATGGTGCTTGTTCAAAAGCGGCAAATTACAAATGTCTTTGCAACAAAAAGTAATTTGAGTTTGATTGAAACATTCTTGCGATTTTTCGTGTCTTTCGAGGCCTCTCGTTAAATTTTTTAAATTGTTAAAGCCGACCCTGCTCCAAACCGATAAATTATTGTTAATGAAAAATACACACTGCCAATACTATCAAAAACTGCAGAGGAGGCTCAGCCTCCCCAGCCTCCTCTAACGAGCTGCCACTGGGCAACAGTATACATCAAAATATGACATGAATCCCAAATCCACCCATTTTCAAGAAAAAATTTATCAGTATCTTCAAGACGATGTATAAAAGTTCGAATAATTAAGGAACGACATAATTCTGTGCGTAGAATACTATAAAGTGCAATTTTTATTACTTTTTTTCAATTTGCTTGTATTTAGTTTTAATATATACAGGGTGTTCCACATAAGAACTGACACAGAGCAGGGGCATGTAACGGAACCCAAAATATGGTGATTTAACGCAACTTGCCGTTATACTAAGGTGCACCCCTGAGAAGTTATAAGCCTTGAAAATAGGGTTTCAAATTTCGAAAAAAATCAATATCTCAGTTGTACATGAACTTGAAAAAAGCAAATTTGGTTGGACTGTTATTTTCTTAATTTTTTTCGTGGTATTTCTCTTTATAAATGTTTAACATATTAATTTAAGGGAATTCCCCAATGGCACCTAATAGGAGATTCTTTTAAGTATCGCAACGACTTCTTGATACTGGTAGTGTTGTTTCTCGCCCTGATAATCAGGGTTCAAACCTACGTTTGGTACAACTTGTTTGTTCCGTTAAACTTGATCTAATATGTCTTATGCACAAATAATGGCAGTCAAACTGCTAACACTCTGTATAATAATAGTATCTGTGATTTAAAACTTACTTATTCCAATCCTCTAACAACCCTCTTGCTGCAGCTGCAACGTCAGGAACACCACCTTTTTTATATTTCCCCGTACGACGTGCTTTTAAACTGTAGAATTCCTAAAACGTGGAAAAACTAGTAATTTTTTAGATTTAAACAGGGTTTAGGCGAACTGTGAATATTGTTTTGATTAACCATCAACGTTACTTACGTCGGGTGTGCTATATTCCGTTACATCATACATTTCCATCATTTGCTGTTTCGTGACCCTCTGCAGAATTGCATTTGCAGGCGTTATAGGGTCCTGTAAAGTAGAAATACGCACTGCGTTTCTTAACGACGCACTGCTGTCACTTCCCGATGCGAAAACGATACCAGGGGAATCCAACAATTTGATTTTTGAATCTAACTGAATTTCTTGCATCGCCCTATAAAATAAGATTAATTAAGAAATGCTTTTTCTGAAATACATTTGATTCTTGTGACTACCTTGTGACCCCTGGAGTAGCGCCAACATTGCAAGCTTTAGATCTCTTCAAACTGTTTATTATTGAGCTTTTGCCGACATTAGGTAACCCCACGACACCAACTCTTATAGACGTCTTAATGCCCTTGTTTCTGCAGTAATTTGCTAACAAGGACATTAATAAATCCGCACCTACGCTTGAGGAACTTTGCATAGTATTGGCGGTTTTTGAAAACTTTTTCTGGCCTAACTTCTGCTTCTGTGTTTGTGTTGATGCTTTAAAGGCGATCGCTGGAGTTGATCGTTTGAGATATTTCAGCCATTTGTCGAGAACGTCTCGGGGGACTAAATCTGCTTTGTTTAACACCAAAACGAGTCTTTTGTTGCCTTTCATATTTTTGACAGCTTCCTCGACCTGTGTACACCTAGTGCCCAAAGGATCTCTAGCATCGACAACTTCTAAAACCACATCAGCAGCTTCAATAACCTTTCTAAACTCCTTATAGTACTGTTTTAAAGAATTTTCGCTACTTAAATCGTGAGTTTTTTCTGAAACACCAGGTGTAAGATGCTCGTGTAGTTTTCCTCTCACCTCAGCGTTGGCCACCTAAAATTAGAAAAATTTTTTTTTAAATAGTATTTCATATTTTTAATTTTAAATTCAAATACATATCAGAGCCACAAAATATATTTTACTTACTAGGCCTTCTAAACCTCCAGCTACTACAGTTTTCTTTGCCTCTTCTCTTTGCTTAATTTTTTCTTGGCGAATTAATTCTCTTTGCCGCTGCTTCTCCTCTTCTTTTTGTTTTGTCATCGCCTCGACTTCTTTTAGAATATCCTCCTTGAACGGACATATATTTGGTACCTGAATTACATCACGTTTAGTCTTTTTAGGATTTTTTTTAGCGTCCCGCCTTTGTTTTTTATTGTGCTGACGAATTTTCTTTTCAATTTTGTATCGTAGACGGGCTGGTTTTCTCTTAGACTGTTTTTCTGGAATTAACAAAGTAAAAATATATAAAATCCTAATAATTATATAATAAGACACCACTTACTCAAATTAAATTTTGCCATATCAGATTATAATTAAGTCTTCGTAGTTTTTTTTACAAATTCTTGTCAATTATAAATGTTAACCAATAACCATAAACATTTGGAACATATTTCTTAACCTACAATTAAAAAACACATACACGTGTTGTTGGGGACCAAGGATTTTATATTCTATACAAATTTAAATCCTTGGTTGAGGACAACACCATAGACCTAGATTAGAAAAGTATAGATGTCTTAAAACGAAATAGATGAATACGCCATACACCGTTAAATAGCCAATATTATAAGAAACAATTGTCGTCACTGTCACTGTTCTTTATTTGTAAAGTCAGTGTCTTGTATACTACGACGTAGTAGTTATTTGCATTATTGCATTTGTTATCTGCAAAATTATAAGTATTTGAACTATCTTGCAGTGTTGCACATTATAAAACATTTGCATACGTCTGCAATTAAACTTATTTTTTTCTAAACATCTTCATATTTAAGAGGTAAATTGTGTTTATTGATTGAAGTCTTTTTTTGTTTAACTAATGTTATTTCAGCAAAATGGTGACTGGGGGTATGTCATGTGTAAAATATCTGATTTTCTGTTTTAATCTTCTCTTTGCCGTAAGTTTATTTTATATTAATTACTAATAGTTATTATTTTATTTTTGTGCCATCGAATCTTTCGAAATTAAAAAATATGAATTTTTGTTTACATAGATTTTATGTCCATTTTGTACAATAGTACAATAAATGGAATAGTAAACTTGAAACAATTTTGATCAAAGAATAATGAAAATGTAATGTCAAAACACAAATCTGGAATGTTACTTTTTTATTAATGGTTAATGAACTCGGTATGTTCATGTTAAAAAATATAGTTGTGCTTTGCCTTAAAGTTCCTCACCAATTTGAAATCAAAATTAACATTCACAAAACGGAAACATATTTTCTTGATCGATTGTACAAAAATTGCTGTAAGGTGGCGAGTTAACTTACAAGTAATAAATACTATTAAAATAATCATTTTGCAGCTCTCTGGTATTGCGATATTGACCGTGGGAATTATTATTCAAGGAATCCATGCTCAGTATTCAAATTTTTTGTACTCAAGCTATGAATCTATTCCTCTATTATTAATAATCGTTGGATTAGTGATCTTTATCGTAGCATTCTTTGGATGTTGTGGTGCTGTTAAAGAAAATCATTGCATGATCATAACGGTAAGGTTAACACATATAATAAACCTTGGGAGATGTTTATGTTGTTTAACAGTTTTCAGTGTTGCTTTTCGTTATATTGATCCTTGAAATATCCGCTGGAATTGTTGGATATGCTAAGAGAAGCGAGGTGGAACAAATGCTCGAAAACAAATTGAATAGTACAATGTTCGAATATTATACCAATCCTGACGTAAAAAATACCTGGGATATTGCTCAGCATGAGGTAAAAGTTATTTATTCTTCCTATAGTATATAAATTGTATTGTAAATTTGTTTTTTTTTAGCTGGAATGTTGCGGAATGCGAGGCCCAAATGATTGGTACAGAGTAACGAAAAATGATTCGCTTCCCCACACCTGCTGTCCAGATACTCAAAATGATGGTTCCTGCAATATTAAATCTGCGAATAAGTACAAGTCGTCCTGTTTTGAAAAATTAGAAGCAGTGTTCGTTCAATACGGATCCATTATGGGAGGCATTGGTATCGGAATTGCAATATCGCAGGTAAAAGAGAATTGCTAATAAATTAAAAAATTTCTGGTATATACATCTTTATATCATTTTTCATATTTGTGGCTAATATTTACATCCTTTAATGTTTCTAGATTCAATTTTAATATACACGCTATATAGGGTGTTTCTAAAAATTTCAGATCTTGAGCATTTCACATTCTTTTTTAGATGCCAATTTAGTAATTTTTTATCTTTCTATAAAGACATTATTTTTTTTTATTTCACGTACAAATTTAATTGTAAATAGATATTTATTGTACTTATATTTTATCATAATTTGTTTTTTTGACGAAAGGGGGAAATTTGCATTTTTAACACAGTTTAAACAAACTATTTCTTACACAATTAATTTTTATCAATTAAAAAAAAATTGCAGCGAAGCCAACGGATGAAAAAGTCATATTATTTAGACTGATTAAAAAATTTCTAATATAATTTATGTTAGTGGCTTGTACATCTGTAAATTGGGACACGTCATAAACGAACATCCTTAAAAAGGGTCAAAAAGAGGAGTTACTAATTATCTTTCATTACAGCCAATTACCATAATTAAATAATTACTTTTACGACCAAGATAAATTCCTATGACATTACAAGATTTGTATCTGTTTTTCTTATCGCAAGGAGTGATTCATGCCACTGCAAATTGTTGATATAACTGTGAAGCCGTTGCACAGTGAAAGAATGTTAATGTGTTTATTTTTCTGCAGCTTATCGGAGCAATATTTGCCTGTTGTCTGGCTCGTTCCATTCGTAAGGAATACGAAACTGTTTAATCCACATAATCTGTTTGTGCACTGAATTATACATAATGTACCTTTTAGCAAATATTTATATGTTCTTTCTGCTGATATTTATTTCGTATTTAAATGTTACGGTAATTTTTTATATTATCGCAAACTAAAAAGCGAAAAAAGGAATCTCATTTTTTTTTTAAATTTCTCGTAATTGTGTTCACTTATTCAGACTGAGTTTTTGTTTGTTACGAAGCGATTATGTAAAGAAATTATGTTTACATTTTAACTTTTTTTTTAATAAGACTAATGCGTGCGCCAAAAATTATTAACTCGGGAGCCAATCTCTTTATATAAGGAAAGATATTTATTTTTAATATTATTTATACTTCTTGTACTGATATTTAGATCTGGTGTTACATTTTTTATCTAATATAGTATGTGATTTTTATTTTAGTCTATATCGTGGTTGTGTAAAAATGTTAGAGAGGATTTACATATTTTATTAATTTGAATCTCAATGTTATATTATTATATATATTAAATGTCAATATATGTATTATTAACATCATTATGTTTTTTTATTCTCCCTTATGCGACGGATTTGATGAATGACTGGTGTTGCAAGCGAGTCTGCTCTCTGTACACTCGGGCATCGCTGCTCCTCCACTACGATGATTTTACGGCGGACGTATTTAGAATATTTAGATTAATTTTAACGAGCCGCTACAATTTTTGCTTCAATAATTGTATCCAAATTGATACAACTATTGTACCGGTTTAGTGTTGAAGTTGTACAAACAATTTTTGTCGCAACGTGAAATTGAATGACTGACATCCTGCGTACATCAATTTAATTTTTTAATGCTCCTCTATTTATTTTTGCTGTTATGTAACACTGCAGTCACTGTCCCAGCTAAAATTATGCACGTTTTATCTTTCTAAAATATTTTAAATTTTATTCGTCATAAAGCAAAACCTACGAAGCCGTAGAAGGGCCATGTCTAAAAATTTTTTAGTTTCAGAGAAAACTTTGAATTCAGACTTTAATCTCTGAATTCAGACTGTAACCTTTGAATTCAGACTTGAAACTGAATTAAGACTTTAATCTCTGATTTCAGACTTTAAAATCTCTGATGTCAGACTTTAACCTTTGAATTCAGACTTGAAACTTTGAATTCAGACTCTAAACTCTGAATTCATACTTTAAACTCTGAATTCAGACTTTAAAAACTCTAAATTCAGATTTTAACTTTTGAATTCAGACTTGAAACTTTGAATTCAGACTTTAAACTCTGAATTCAGACTGTAACCTTTGAAGTCAGACTTTAAACTCTGAATTCAGACTTTAAAAACTCTGAATTCAGACTAAAAACTCTAAATTCAGATTTTAATCTCTGAATTCAGTCTTTAACTTTTGAATTCAGACTTTAAACTTTGAATTCAGACTTTTAACTCTGAATTCAGACTGTAACCTTTGAATTCAGACTTTTAACTCTGAATTCAAACTTTTAAAAACTCTAAATTCAGACTTTAATCTCTGAATTCAGACTCTAAACTCTGAATTCAGACTTTAAAAACTCTGATGTCAGACTTTAAACTCTGAATTCATACTTTAAATAAATACTGACTTTAAGGCATTGAGTAGCAAAAGGATATAAATACACTTGTATTATATACCACCCATATACAGGGTGTCACAGTGTAAGCCTACAAACATTAACTGGGGAGTAGGTTTGGTCAAGATATGACTAAAATTCTTATAGATATTCTTCAACAGACACGCACACTGAGTTGCGGCTTAGTAAAAACCTGTACTAACTAGAAATTAATTTGTAACGTTACTGGTTAAGTTGTAAGATCGTACAGAAAATTGTGTCAACCTCTGATTGGTACAATTATCGCATAGTTAGTGGGGGCGTTTCAGATACATTCAACATTTACCCTTTGTATGGGCGAATTAGAATTCATTAAATAGAATATGGTATAATTGAATGTAACAGTTCTTTTAAATACTATAAAATTCAGTACTTAAGTGTAATGTAAAAATAAGTTGATTTGAAAAAAGTCCCGGTAGCTGCTTTCTAAGTGCCACAATTCATTCATTAAGTAAGAATTTTGAGAAGGCGAGCGCAGCATGGGCACTATGACGCCAAAGCGCTCCCCTCTCACACTTTTACTTGGTCATTTCTTGTTTAAATTCATTAAAAAAAATTCAGCTTATAAAGGAAGTCTTCTACTTTACAACGAGCCCAAGTTTATTACAAAATATTAAACAGAACAAGAAAAAAAATTATCTTGGCTCCTATTGGTCAGATCGAGAACTTTTTTTAAAAAATTCATGTTTTTTTAAGCACTATTTGATGTAATTGGTTTGAAATCTGTATATTAAAAGATCGCCGAGATAAGGACCCTAGTTACCGTTTTTTTTTGGTTTTTGTTAACTTTTTTAGTTTGCAACTTAAAAATCTGAAATTTATGCAAAGACGAGACAATGTACCTAATTACCTTTCAATCCTTTTTTACCGAATTTCGATATCTTGACTTGGGCAGAAGATATACACGCTCGCATTTTTGACTTTATAATTTTGCAGTAGGCCGCCATTTTGAAATTGGGGGTCCGGATTACGGGTATTTGTTGAGCTCCCCAACAATTATCTTTTCCTGTAGTTTCATCCAATTTCAGTCAAATCCCTTCTTTTTATTTAATGCTGAAAATTTTGCACATTTTTTTCACCGCTAATTTTGTAATGTAAAAAAAAAATTTGCGACCTTTTGCAAAAGCCAATCCTTGTAACAAATTTCCTCAGGAACAAAATCGATAAGTATACCTCATGTTGATTAGAGGCTTATTTTCGGGGATATAAGAGAAAAACTGAAAAAAGAGCAATAATTTTTTTTTTTTGTTATGAACAAGATGATGCTCGACCTCTACAAATACACAAATTTAGGCTTTTATTCTGTGTATTTTTTACTTAATTTTAAGCCCATAAAATTCGACGTAGGCCCAATTTTTGACAATAACCTAATTCGCCCAGACTATTAGATTATTTTGAATATGTAGGATCAACACACTACAGTCAAATAAAATTAGCCAAAAATATATATGTGAGTTTTTGCGAATACGAGTTATTTTTGTGGCTTCTGGAATAAAGTTCCGATTATAAAAATCCCAGTAGATGGTTTGTTTGTCTGTTTTTAGCAATTTTTTACACCTTTTTTTCATTCATTAATTTCAGACACGTGTGTAGATGGAGTAAAAACGTAATGCAGATAGCGATGTCACCCATTTGCAAGTAAGGTGAAACCCACGAACATACTATCACCCCACCCGCAACCTTAATCTCCCAACCAAACCAGCCAAAAACTGCCTCAAAGATATGTGAAACGCATATATCAAGCGTTTCAGAGTGGAAGAGACAAAAGCCCAGGGAAGATTGCGCTCAGCAAAATATGTAAAAAAGTTCATATGAATATGGGTCCGCAAGTGCTTCGTTTCCGAGATACAGGGTGTTAATTTTTTTTTTTAAATTGAGTTAAAAAAAACGCTTTAGCCGTATTGAATGAAACTTTTACGGTTTATTAAAACAATGATCATACATCAACTGAACCGATCAGATTTGAGCTAGAATTTTCAGGGGCGTACCCAATGAGCAAGTTGTTTTTTTGTAAAAAAGAATAAAATAAAAACGAAGTGAGACACTAAAAAGAGTCAAGAGATACAAATGTACTACTTTTAGGGGGTTTATCTAAATATTACATAAAAACAGCAAAAAATACTACAGGGTGATATTTTTTTCTAAAAAAAAAACACTTGGTCGCTGGGTATGCCCCTGAAAATTCTGGATGGAATCTAATTGGTTCAGTTGATATGTAATAATTGTTTTAATAAACCGTAAAAATTCATTCAAATTGGCTACAGCGTTTTTTTAAAAAACTCAATTTGTAAAAATAAAATTGAATTAAGCCTTTAAATAATAATAAAGTAATTAAATTGTAAATATGGCAATTCCTTGCACAGTTTACTCTTTAAATTTAAACAATAAAAAATTAACTTTGAAAATACTATTACACAACAGCCCTAGGAAACAATTTTGTGTTTCCATTATTTTTTTATTTGGTTCGCATGTTTATTCGTTTTTGCAATAAGTATTATGGGCAGAGCAAAATATGGGTCCATTTCAAGCGTGCGACGGACTCTTAAATAACATATAAAACATTTATTCTTACGTGAATATTTATAAATAATACACAAGAAACAATTACCAGTTGTTAAAGTTAAACGAATTCAAAGTTTTTTTCTTTTTAGTAGGGGGTTCGACATCGGCATCTTTTTCAATGCTGAAACGGAAAAATAATTATCGTATCATTTTTGTATCGTACCTTTCGTACCTTTTCTTGATGACTGGGTTGATGTATTTTCCTACACCGCTTCGAAAAACTTTTAGTTTTATTTGGGAATTAATTTTTTGCGCCTCTGCCGACTCTTCTACTTTCTGCCTGTCTATTTCATCCTGCCTTTCTTTGGCCAGCTACATAAATGATTAAAGAAATAAATACGTACTTGATATAAAAGGTAGTGCAATTTATTCGAACTTTAATTTTATTTTTAATTTTTTTATTGTAATTTTTTATTTTTTATTCAATATTTTGTAATTGTGTTCTATATCTTGTCATTGGTCTATATTTTGTAGTTTGTCCATATACAATTATTATCTGTTTTTTATTTGTGTTACATACTTTTGACAATTTTTGATACTGTGACAGCAAAGTCTTATGAAATAAATATTTATTATTATTATTATTATTATTGTTATTGTTATTGTTATTGTTATTGTTATTGTTATTGTTATTGTTATTGTTGTTGTTGTTGTTGTTGTTGTTGTT